TAGAAATTCTTTCTGAACTTCTTTGGATAATTGTGACACATCGACAACAAATGAATTTCGCCGATACTAACGAGAATATATGAACCCCTGAATATAATCATAATTGCTTCAAGATTAGCTCATTCAAGGAGTCAAATATGTCAGTTAAATAAGCCAACCTCCATTGAAATGTGTCACCTTTGAACATTGTCAAGAAATCGTGTTTTTCTTTGAACTCAAGAAAAATAATAACCTCTTCTTTCACTTCATAAAGGCGAGCCAACATGTTGCCTTTGGACAGCCAGCATACTTCTGTATGGAACAGAAGAACTTTGTGATCGGAATCTAGATCCTTGCAAAGTAAAGCAAATAACCGACTGTTCAAAGCGCTGCTCTTGATGTAGTTGCAATCCTTACAGCCGAGTCCAAAGTGTGGCGTAATTTCTGTGGCAATGTTTGGGAAGCCAAAGCTTGCCGAGGAATAACAAAATGTGTACTAACCATTACGGGATTTTTTCATTGAGCTTTTTAGCTAGGCCCGATCGTACACCTATCATTGCAGGTGCGCCATCTCTGCAAAACCCAATGAGTTTCCTGCCAATCCAAATCATTTTTTCCAACAAAATTTGATATTGAATTAAATATATCTTCAGATTTATTAGTACCTGCTGTCAAAGATTGGGAGTACAAAATCTCTTCTTGAATGATATCTCCGCCGATGTAACGAACATTAACTGTGCACAATTAACGATGTCGGTGGATTCATCGCAACTAATGGCAAAAAATGGCGATAATTTTGCTTTGTTAATTAATTTGTGATATTATGTCTGCTGCAATGTCATCGACTCTACGCTTGACTGTGTCATCCTAAAATTATTTGCGTGGCTTTTAGGACACATGGTTTATTAATTCTTCACCGATAGGACTTTTATTACATTTTTTTGAGAAATCATCTTCTTTCGTAACAGTGCATATGTGGTTGTCGGATCAGTTATGAAACACCCTGTATACGAAAATGATATTGAAATTACCAAACTGCTTAGTTACTTGACAGCATAAGTACTAAAAGGTGGAAAATAAAGCAAATAAAAAGATACATTTTTAATAACAAGCTTTTACTTAGCTGTTAATAAAATGAACTAAAAATTTCAAAAATATGTTTTTCCGATCGGAAATATTTAAACGATAATCACAAAATAAGTTTTCAAGCGTGTTACATTTTGGTAGCTGCAAGCTAAATACAAGCTTGTTTTAAAAATGTATTTTTTATTGTATTTATCTTTGACTTTGATAAAACGTGATGTTTTGTGAAAAAAAAGTCTTGTTTCAATAATGACAAAAATTGTTATAACGTGATCTTATGATTTATATTCAGGGTTTTTCTGATGTCTGATTATGAATCTGTTATATCTACAAAATAGTGGAAGCAGTACAAAAACTGACAAAGCTGTACAGAAACACAAGAGCTTCTCGAACGACTTATTTCTACCTAGAACTTTCCCAGAATCGTTCCGATTCAGCGTAAATAGTTCATAAGCAATTGGATCAAGAAATATCCCTAGAATGGTGGAACAGCCAATTAGAGCAAAGACAGGCAAAAGAGTTCCTCAAAGAACGAAGTCCCGCATTTACAAAGGACCTATTCCAATTTAATAGGAAGGCCATAAGGGCCGAAGTGAGTTACCTTACAGGTAGGAATCGCAAATCTAACAGTGGAAACTACAAGCAAAGCCATATGTCAAAAGACAAAGTGCACATGGGGGGCACAATAAATCCATTTGGGTCACAGTCTAGCAAGCCAACCCCTTTTTTATAATCTGTCATCTGGCTACTGACAGTTCCAGAACGATTCTGGATTATTATACACACGGTATAAAAAATTAGGAATATTGGTTTTATGTATTTATCATGTGAGACCCATGTGGTTACTATGTTGTCAAAACTCCGTTAAAATGTACAGTGCCGTTCAATATTTATTTGAGAAAAGCGATTTCCAATCGCACCCTTCAGAAGACTCTATGATTATATTTCAATAATTTGAATATGGTAATTCCTTTTTGGCCAACTTGTTGTAAAATGTAATGACAGCTTGCTCCGGTTTGAACGGAACTACCTATATGGTCGATTTTTACGCTATCAATAATACCTCAACGGCTGCTGATAATTATATGCTACCCAGATACCCAGAATCAAATTATAGGTATTCTGAATCTCCCCTGTGAGCGTTACGGTATATTCATTATGTGACGAATAATATGCATTTCATACATTTGGGTGGTTTCTGATTTTAAATATATTTTGCGGTCAACCAAAGAAAGGGAACACCGGTGTCTAAATGAAGTCGTGGAACAATTACTATTGGCGTATTCTTTAATTCCATCGGTGCAACCAATTTTTCTTCTTTTAATTTCCGTCTGAGCGACCGGTTGTACACCAAACTTGTCTATAGACTAGACTATATATAGTTTATAGACAAGTTTGGTTTGGCTTAGACGGAAATTTTGGTTGCACCGGTGGATCAACCGGTGAATTAAAAAATACGCCTTATGTTTTAGCAATATGTTGATGTTGAAGCTCATTTACATAGGCTACAAATTCCGGAGCAAGTGTATAATTAGCCAAAAATGCTACACCCCTCAAATCGGCTCAGGTCCTTCTGTTCGTGAATAATGTAAAATTAGGGCTGCGTCAATTTTAACATCGCTGGACGATTGTAAATGAGGGAAGTAACGAGGTGGTCATGATGTCGAGCCACAGCGTCATCGAATGCGTTATCCAAACGTCTGTGTCTGTGTCCATATCAACAGCCCTGACAGCGCGTGAAACGGCAATAGGCACAACACACATTCCCTTTTATCGTTCCACATAATTTTTCAATTGATATTTCACAATGACACAGTCAGATTTTATTAAATTAAATTCACTGTTGCTCATTACTACGTAAAACCGACAAATAGTTTACAGTTTATGAGTAACATAATTTTCCTGGTGCTTAAATACGGTCAAACTATCAAGTTCAGTACATATTGCAATACTGGTTGCCTATATTTGGTCTAGTTCACACTCCTATAAAATCACTATAATCTATTTTGCATTGCTTAGTACCATTTAGCACAAGAAACCTTACCGTCCAAAATTTATCATAAAAATGCTACATATCCAAATCTTTCTGACTGTTACATCCTACCATTAAATGCAAGTCTTCCCTTGACGTTTCTCAAGGAGGCGTTATTGCCCAACTATGTGTGCTGTCGCTCTTTAGCTAAGAATATCCCGAGATTTCGTACCTGGCAGCGCGGCAACGTTGTAGGGTACTAGCCGCCGAGGCTTATCTGCGAAATGTACTGAGTCAGCACCGGTACTCGCGTCTCGCATCGTCTGACCAGAAGGTACCACTGGATTCTTTGAATGACGATCCGACTCTGCCACGCCTCCATGTTGGTTTATCATGTGATTTATTGGCGTTACATTAAGAAAACTTGAAATAGGGTACTATAAAATGCATTAAAGATAAGGACTAGATAGCAGAACTTCGGTACTGCTAAGAACCTTGAATAACATGGAAGTTATTGCGACTATTTAGGGAATAAATCCAGATATGTTTAGACACAATTTTCAAGTGGTACCTTCAGTAGGACTTTATAGAATTATTCGGTGCTTCTCGTAATTGACTATTGAAAACAGTTGGTGTCATTTTGTAGTGTTTCTTGAGAAACACAAACTTTGTATAGCTCTTTCACAATAAGACTAAATTCTAAAAAAGTTCTTACATTTTTTACTACCTACGCCACAAGCGTGAAGTATTTTTGGATATTATATGACATGCATATCACTGAAAACCATGTCACTTATTTCCATCTGTCTGTCTGTCCGCTAATCTTTGACCACACTATCACATAGGGGTTACTTCTGTGCCAAGGACTAAAAAGATTAATAGTAATCGATCCAGTAGCGGCGGAGCTAGGGGCAAAAAAGTAAAAACATGAAAATTGCTCAAACTGTTAAATGTTTCAGATGAACCGGATCATTTTTGAAAAATTTTTGAGGGGTAAACAATTTGGAGGTGGAGTGTTATAGGGGGCTGCTGATCATACGCTTCGCGGACCTGCCGATGTATGTCTGTATCAGTCGGCCTCCGCTGCTTGACTGGCTGTGGACCATCGGTCGTCATCCACGGCAGATCCTAACGCCAGATGTACACGTATGTAGTTTCGATCATATGCACCCGAAGAACTTTTTTTCGGGGGAAGGGAGAGGACCATTCATTTGCAAGAGATACTTTTGTGTGAAAGCATACCTACCTCCAAAACTTTTTGAACAGCGAGGGGTTAGGTATTTTCTCAGAGAGCCAAAACCCAAAGACCCCCAAAACTGTACAGAAAAGCATGCTAAGGATGCAGAATTTATTTGTATGAGCCTGTTTGCATGCTAAAAATGCAGATTTTATTTGTATGAGCCTGTTTGACTAACCTGATCCATTTAATGCTTTTTTTATACATATTCGTAGCTAACTTTTTTCTCAGAAGGGCCCACTTATGTCGAAGATAATCCTTTATCAATCAACCTATTTGGCGCCATTTTTGTAAGATACTTCAATAATTGATCCTCAGCTTCTCAGAAGGAATAAAGATCATAGACAAATTTACCATATGGAAAGCAGCGCTCATAAAACTTCTTTATCTGAATAACTGTAAAATTGTTGTCTCAGCATACTTTTAGGAGGTGAAGTTGTGTCAAGTTTTGGATGATACAGTACAAAAGATTACATACACCTATAAGACACAAACTGGGGCGCACAAAATCCATAATGCCTTGATAATGGCTAAAGTTCTGAGTGCTTAAGCTTCTCTCCGAGCTCCTCAAGGGTGGTGAAAAAATACGTGAGACTTGTACCACAGACTTGGGCAGAAACCGGTGGCGTTTCTAGAGGTCAGACCTCTAAAAAATAGGTCATGTGCAATATTTTAAAAAAGATACCCTAGAATCGGTTTGTTAGCAGACAAACATAAGCATTTGGAAAAATTCCTTTTATTTTAAAATAACCCTAATTTACCAAACAAAAGCTGCGTGTAACTACGAGACATTCACTGACCAATTCATGCAGAATTCGGCATACTTACGATAATAGAGCAAACAAACGGCACAGGGCATTACCTGCAAAAAAGTGACATTTAAAAATATAGTGATACAATAAAAAGAATGATCAAGTATTTATTAGACTGAACAGTCCTTCAAAAGTAAATAAATATAAATATAAAAGCCTTTGCCACTCCGTATCACTCTTTTCCGTCGGTCTGTATGTCGGTCTGTCCTCTAATGTTATAATCGCCTATAACTTAAGAAGTACGACGGAATTTTTACACAATGTTAGTACAGTACCAACGAAGCTGTGTGGTTTTTGAAAATTGGTCCAGTAGCGGCAGAGAAAAAGGCCTAAAACGGACAAAGTAAAAATCGCTCAAACTTCGTTTTTTTTTCACGTTTCAGGTCATTTTTCAAAAAAATTTTAAAGGAAAAAAACATGGGGGTGGGATTGTAAGGGGGTGGGGAGGGTTTGTCTCATTTTTTTATGCTGGTAAAATGCATATACTCTCCCAACTTTGGTAATACTACGCACCAATTAGACATATTTCACACATCATAGGTTTCTCTGGGGGCGGGGAAAGAATGTATGATTTTATACTCAGATGGTCTTGTTTGTGCTGAACATATTCCTTTATGGACTGCTAAGGGCATTACGTGGGCAGAGTCAACCTGCTTGATGCCATTTTTTATAATAGTTAATATAATTCGGAGCTCAGATTTCGAATATGACTATCTGAATTTCTAACGTATGGCAAGACCCTGTTTGGAATAGAAATTCATTACCTTCCGAGTGTTCCGTCTATCTCAACGAAAAGCTGTCATCATATTCGTGATCTACGTACCAGATTTACCCAAGGAGCGAGTTTAAGAAATTTTGAAATATAGGGTTCGGCGAAAAAGGATCAGAGTAGAGGTATTATTTTATAGCTGAAGGCATAACAAAGTGAGCTTTAGTTACAACGTATTTACACATTAGAAAACATCTTTTTAGCATTAACTCTTTGTCTATGTTCAATATACAGGGTGTTCCGTACTTAAATGGACATAGTGAAATGGTAGGTGGTATTGAGTATATGTGAAAATAAAAAAGTTCTTAATTCAGTTTTAACGGATATAATAATAATAATAATTGGAAGCAGTTAAAAAAGGAATGCATACGTACTTAGATCAAATACCAGAAAAGCCAGATATCTATGAACTGCAAGAGACTGCACTGTTAGGATCAGCCCACATACTGAGGAGAGTATTAACTTAAGAACCAGCTATATCTCAGAACCCTTGTTGGGTTCCGATGACTAGTACTGTCCGATAATAGGAGGGCGAGAATATCTAATTGAATACTAATGATAATATGATTTACTTGCCGATATCAGTACAAAACCATAATAAGAATTACACAAATGTACTAATATAAATAAGCAGCTGCAAAAAGGACTAGTAAGCAGTCTACTACTTATAAGGTACCAGCCCTGTCATCATAATTAGTTAGAATAGCACATGGTAACTGTAATTAACTATCACCATCAACGCAACAGACAAATACATACACAAGGGAAATATCTAAAATCATCTACCTCATTTATGCTGACAGTTCAAGAAGAATATACACCTTGAGAAGCAAACATAAAAAATTCGCTCGACTAACTGGAGAGCTTTTTATATTTAAATTTGAAAGCTTTTTTATGTTTTTGGGAACTGGGCTGTACAATCAACAAGCATTATAAGAGAAATACCTAGTGAAGATGGCTGATTTATGTGGTAGCTGTGAAATAAGACCTCTAAACATAACATTAGCATGATGAACATCTCTGCGAAACATAATTCTTTTGAACAGGTGCGGTGGTGTTTTGTAGGTAATTATTTTATGAAACAGAACAGCTGAATGCAGTTCTCGTCTCGCATGCATGCTTAGCCATCCTGCATCACGAAGCTTATGTGAGATAGGCTCATATTTCGGCACTTCAAAAATAAATCTAAGACAGGACATTTGCACCTTTTGTATATGGTCAATCTCAAGTTTCCTCAAACAATAAATCACAGTAATTAATTTTGAAGATAAAACAAGTGTATCGCATAGGGGGATTTTAAGGTTGGGGTCAAGACTAGGGATAGGGATACAGCAATTTTGGGTCTAACATTAATGCCGTTAATACAGCTATCAATGTGTTTTGTAAATCTTAGATCATTGTCCAAAGTCAGTCCCAAGTTCCTGGCATGATTTATTATCAATTGAAATTTATCTTCAAAATCATTTTTACGTTTAACAAACAAAAAAATACTTTTGTCAGATTTATTGAAAGCTGGTATACAGTGCTCTTTTCAGGTTACTGAGACCTTCATTAATCAAGTTAAGAACAGCCCAGACTTGTGTATCTGAAAGCTACCCGCAGAATAGACAGAAAAAAGTACGGGACCCAAGATTAAGCCTTGTGGAACTCCAAAAAGGATATGATTTAATTCAAATACTCCTGATGAAGTCTCAACAAACTTAGATCGTTGTAAAAACAACTAGAAAACACCCTAACTGCATCACCGGTACAACCTACATAGTTGAGAATTGCAGACCTTTACTTATGGTTTATAGTGTTAAAGGCCTTCGAATAGTCTGTAACATCAAGAAAGGCAGTAGTACTGCTAAACCCTTTCAAAAAGCTAGACTGATTTGATGGAAGGAATTGATATTTCGCGAAAATTAGACAATGCAGATATGTAATCTTTTTTGGGTAATGGAAAAACCTTTCAAACCTTCCACGAGTCCGGAAAAAGATTTTCTAACAGACCGCTATAAATTATACTAGTTAAAGCTAGTAAGTTGAAATTTTGTAATGTAATCTAACGATACCACCAAAAGACAATTCTGTTGCTCAACTTGTAGGATTTCCTTATACAAAATCTCCCTACCTCTTGGCCTACTGCAGCTTCAAAACGCAGCGGCGAACTAGGCCATATTTCATAGTTACAATCATCCGTCTGGCAGCATGGAAGGACAGAAAAGCTCAGCCACGTCCGTATTCTGTGAGCTTCAGTCTCCAGGGAATACAATTGCGAGCTTTGATAATTCATGGCAACTTTTACAATGGAGAATTAACTTTGCGAGTGTTGTCAACTGGTTTTCTATCCTTTCGTTTACACGAGTTTTGTGCGGGAATGTAAATTCTCATCGTAATAGGGAACAAAGATGACGTGTTGAATAAAAGTTGAAGCTGTAACAGAGTCATGGTTTGTGACCATACTCAGACAGACTGAAGAGATACGTAAAGCTTTGTTGCAGGCTCTAATGACGTCAGTATCTCCCTAGGGTAGAAAAATATGCGTTTTCGGTGTTCATTCAAGTGAAAGTGCAAGAGTTTTCATATAAAAAGTACCTTGTCGAGTCCTTGAGCGACATAGCATAAAAAACTGAAATAAAAGAATAAGGAAACACGTTCACGTCTGAAGAAAACCTCCTTAATGAAGTAGTCTTCCACACAGCTGATGTGCAAAGACGAAAAATAATAAACCTGGCTAAAATTCAAAAAACAAAGTGACAAAAATAAATGAAATTCATTATCTATTTAAAGTTAATACCCTACACAATAAATTGGCCATATAGGGACACAGCTTTGATTACACAATCTTTACCATGGTAGACTATCAAATTTGGAGTTTGTGGTGTATCATCCGACATTGCTTTTTTGGAAAGGTTCTATATTATTCGTGGTATTGTATGTTGAAAAATAAAGACGGTAAAAACATTCATTTGATGTAATGAAAATCTGTCAGTATTATTGTTAACATATGTACTCCGTACGTGAAACAGATTATTATTCCTCTGGGGGATGTTTAATAAGTTTCCACCCTTTGCGAAAATTCCGACTAATGCTGTTTGCATACCTTAAAGTAGATAGTTCTTGTTAACTGTTATATAAACTACTGATAGATACAAACTAATAGGACACACTAATCTATGACTGGGACTCAACGGCCTCAGGAACGCATATAATAGGCATCTGAATTCGAATGCTCGACGTATTTTCAATTTGTCCTTGAAATGACCTTAAAATGCCGTCATAGTGACCAATTGACCTCTGATTCGGAGTCAATGATCAGAAACTTAATTAACATATAGTTGGACTCAACTCTTCAGCTTCTTCTGAACGTGTCCTTCAAATGCCCTTATAAATACAAACCGATGCCAGATCTGAAATCATTTGTCTTTGAAATGATCTTGAAATGACCTTCAAATGCCCTCATAGCGATCAGTTGAGCTCTGATTCGGACTCAATGACCAGAAGAACCTGAGTAACATACGGTTGGGCTCAACTGTTCAGCTTCTGGACGTGTCCTCTATAAAACTTTGAAGTTACCTTCAAATGGCCTCATGGAAATAACTGTCAAATTGTATTTTTTGTCTGCTTTTCGGTGTTTTGGACCAGTGTGCGATGCCAAGAGAAGTGATATAAAGTGAATTCCTGTCCGTTCTCCGAGTCATTCTCGCGGTAAAATTGCGCCGTCATCCATCAGTGTCATCTCTAAAGACGAAGTTAACTTTGCGATTAACCGTTCAATAATATGAAGAAACTAGAATTATTATTTTGCTGACAACTGATGCATTCGCTAACTTGCTTGCCAGTTGTCAACAGCTGCCAGAATTTAGGATTATTCATCGTATAGCATTCTAATTTACTGCGCTCAACAGCTTTCCAGCTGATTAATGATAATTTGAGAAGAACCATAGACCCAGAAGAAGTAGACATATCAGTATTTTCAGATTTGAAGAGGCATTTAAAACAATTGATAGGGATATCCTGTTAGATAAGTTGAAGGCATATTAGGAAGTGTTTTAGACTGGTTTAAAAATTATTTGTCTAAAAGGATGCAAGTTACAAATGATAATAACACTATTTCTTTAAAAATTGAATCCTGGGACCACTTTTTTTATTTTATACATAAACGATTTACCTGTTATAGTCAAAAAATGCAAAATTGATGACACTATTTATTTATATAACTATTCAAAATATTCAGACTGATATCTCTTATACAGGGTGGCGCAGAGGAAACGCATGTTTTCTGACCGAATGGTATTTCGCACAGAATAGGGATATGACCTCGCCGCACCGCCAGCAGAGAACACATGCGATGCAGTTTCAGCCATGGCACCGTGGATGACGAAGCATCGTGTGTTTGCCGTCGAGCAATTTTTTCGAAACGATGATTCTGTAGTGATCGTGCAACGTTTATTCCGTCGACAGTTCAGTGTTGAACGCCACGGGCCAATTCCAGATCGAAACACAATACTCCGATGGGTTGAAGCATTTCGAAGTACTGGATCCGTAATGAAGAGGAAGCCACCTGGCCTTCCCCGTACCGTGCGGACTCCAGGCAATATCGAAACAGTGAGAAGAGCGGTCCTTGATAGTCCCCAACGGTCCACTAGGCGCCAAGCTCCAACTCTGCGTATGTCCCGTCGGTCATTACAACGCATTCTGCATGACGATTTACAATATCATCCGTACAAGATAATGATCGTGCAAGAGCTAACGGAAAGCGATTTTGCACAGCGTAGAGAATTTTGTGCGAGAATGCGGGCCATTTTTGCTGACGATCCTGACGTCGTCATAATGATGAGTGACGAAGCACACTACCATTTAACAGGATATGTAAACAAGCAGAACTGTAGGTATTGGGCGGCCGAAAATCCACGAGAGCTACACCAACGACCCTTGCATAGTCAAAAATTAACTGTGTGGTGCGGAATCAGTAAATTAGGTATCGTTGGTCCTTACTTTGTTGAAGAGGAAGAAAGAGCAGTAACAGTTACTTCAGCACGTTATGTTCACATGTTACAAAATTTTCTGTTACCCGAACTTCAACGGCAACAAGTAAACATGGGAGAGCTGTGGTTCCAACAAGACGGTGCCACAGCTCACACAGCGAGAGCATCAATGGAATGGATTCGACAGATGTTTCCTGAACATGTGATTTCCCGTTTCGGCGATGTCCCTTGGCCCCCACGCTCCCCAGATTTGTCCGCATGCGACTTCTTTTTGTGGGGTTACCTTAAGGATAAAGTGTACCCTCACAAGCCTCGTACGTTACAGGAACTGAAAATTGCTATTCGTCAAGAAATTGCAAGAATACCACAAGAAATGATTTTACGTGTAATGCACAACTTTCAAGAGCGGTTGGAGTTGTGCGAGCGCGAAGCAGGGCGACACTTGAGTGACGTTATTTACCATCATTAGTTTAAAAGTGCACTATCATTACTTTATTTAGCTGTAACTGAAACAAAGTTATCTTGAAAATAAAAAATGTTATGCTTAGGTGAAAATCGTGCGTTTCCTCTGCGCCACCCTGTACTATAAATGAAGACTTGGAACTTGTTTAAAAATGGTTAACATCTAACAAGCTCAAATCAAATACATATAAAACGAAAGCTATGTTAATTGAAAAAAACAATGTGTACAAATGTTCAACTAAATATTGATTGTGAGGATATTGAATTCATTAAAATTTCAAATACCTTGGGGCTTTTGTTGACTCTCAATTAAATCTTGATATTCATTATGACAAAATTATAAACAAGATTAGTAGTCAAGTGGGATATTTATTAAGCGTTTCTGGATGTCAGACTTCATATAGTAGAGAAATTATCTAAAATACTATCAATATTCCAAATTTCTTGTACTGTTCGACTAACATATACGACATATATATTATTTATGAAGTAAAAAATAATGTTTCCACCGTGTCTAACTAAATGAGCATCATAAAATGCCGACCATCATTTACATAATATCAAAAATAACGATCACTTCCATTTAATGTCCAAAAAGTATAGTATCTATATCCTACGAATCTGTACGAGTATTCCATCAGTGCTTGATTGAATATAATAAATTGAATACATAAATAAAAGACCAGCATATTTTGACAAAATTCAGGGAAAAATTGAGGAATCACTTGTTAAATCTGCCCAGCTTGTGCATTTTATGCGTTGAATTTACTAATTCTAACTTGTTTATAATTATTCTGTTTGTGTCGCCAAACGTGCTGAATAAATCTTTCTACTACTACTATTACTAGCCAAGAATTAATAAGTATATACGAGTACTAGCTAATTGCTATGCAATTCTCAATTTACTTGGTGCTAATAAAAAACTGGCCAGAAATGCAAGAAAATTTCGGAAACATCTACTCCCGCGAAAATTGCGCCAACTTCATATGATTTCGCACATCCTGGCAGGATTTTCGACGCTTGCCTCATACAGCCGATTTTCTACGCTCCAGTAAAAATACCCCTTTTATTATCCGTTATGTTCGGGATGCAGGAAAAATGTGGAGCGCCTGGCGCTGAAAGGATATTTCACAAGAAATGGCATTCGATGAGAATTTCCCACATTTTCTATTGGTGTCGGAGAAATGAAGTCATCGTTCTTAACTGATTTCGCTACCGACCTATCTTGAATAACTTCCAAATGAATCATCCAGGAAGGAATTTTGGGGAGAATACGCTCATAAGTCGTAGCAGTTCTGGGAAAGTATGAATGAAACATTGTTTCTATATGCATGTAAGCATGCCATACTGCAATTTTTCAAAGAACGTGTTTCCAAGGAAATTTTTTTCTCGCACTGGGTTGATGCTGATACACCATTCTCAGCTTTAATTAAATGCTCTCTCATTTTTTCGTTTGCATTTGTCTGATAGTCAAAGCATTTTTTTGATCATTTCGAATTCGACATTCCGTAATCGATAAAATCCGGAACGCGTTTTGATATTTTTTAAACGTTAGGAGTATCCTCTACGTTCAATCAATTATTCCTCTGAAAAACTCAAGAGTCCATATTTTCAGGAGGAAAAAAAGTATTTCACCAAATGTCAACCCTCCTCAATCTCCAACTTTATCACTTTTCTAAAAGAGTTTCTCGCGTTTTTCCTGCCCTTTGGGATGCGGGAACCAGTTTCGTTATACATACAAGGCTTTGCTATGGAATCACTGATAGAAAAAGTCTCATTAATCTTTGAATCGTTGCTAACGATATTACTGCCAACAACCAAAATATCAAAAGTCACCAATTCAATAATGATACAGATATATTGAATGCATTCGAATTAATTAAAAACAAATCATCGTCAGGATTGAACGGAATGTCTATAAACACAATTGAACATAAAGTACCTGTGCTATTAGGGCATATGAACTCTCTAGTCAACCAGTCATTACTGTACGGAGTGTTTCCAGATGCATTTAAAACCATCTTAATTGTTCCGGCACACAAAAAGCTAGTTTGACTGATATTGGAAATTACATACAGATATCTATTTTTAATGGTTTCTCCAAACTATTTAAAAAAATTGTGTCTCCAGGATTACTAACTACTTTGAAATTAATGATTTATTCTGTAAAGAACAACACTGCTTCAGATCTCATAAATCAACTGAATCTGCATCCTGAACTTTGTACATGAACAATTAGAATCAGATAAGACGGTATTAACACTATTCTTGACTTAACAAAACACTTTGTTACGGTTGACCTCTCTGGTAAATAAAATAGAGGCCCTGAAATGTCCTACTAATATATTGCTAATGCTAGACTATTAGTGAAGGCTGCCAAACTTCCACCAAGAAAAGCATCTCAATCTGCAAACAGGCGCAAAAAGATGAATCTCGGTAATAGCTCACTATTAATCAAACTAATTACGAAATTATACGTGACGCCCTTTAAACGCCCTTCAAAGGTCATTAATAATCGTCTTAGAAAGTTCGCGCCCGTTTCTTTTATTCGGAGACCTTCACAAAACAAGGAGTTTTTTATTTCGCCACTATTACGAAAGTACAGCGAGGCGCCTCTATCTGGAGTGCTCTAATTTTTAAAGTTTTCAAATACACACGAACACTTTTAATCTAGGGGCTGAGAAATGGGCAGCTATTATTAACAACGGGTCTTGAAAAAGTTATCGGAGACGGTGAGCACAGAAAGCTATAGACTTTTGAAAAAAATGGATGCTGTGGTAGATATTGAATGCTTTCGATGTAAAATAGGATTATTTTTTTGTGAACGGAGTTTCTAACAGGGTAGGAAAGTATTTTAAGCTAATAGGTTCAAATTTCAGGGTTTCGTCTTACCGACTAGCGCATGATTTCCAATCGAAGCCCTGCCCTTTACCTAGAAGAAAACGTACACCATATAGATATAGTATATTTCCAGTAAATAGTCAATTTTCTTAGTTGCAAAATATTGAAATTATTTAAGGATTGTGTTGTCACATGTGATAGATGGCGCTTTGCGCTGTCTTATTCCGATAGACCGTACCTCCTGAATAGAGGATAGTTACGATGCTTTCGTTCGCTGTTCAAACGCGAGAGGCCAGAGCTAGACCATACTGATGGATAGCCAAGAAACACGAAACAGTTGTCCGTGGTTGCCTGTCTTCTGTTCGGATGGATGGAAGCATCATGTTTAGTTTATTCAGTGGCACATCTACTTTACAGCCAGAATCGTCAGCCATCTAGCGGTCACGTGGTGACTGAACTATCAAACATTAAGGGCATACCTAGCTATACTTGATATTTTTGTTTCTATTTTCTTTTCATTGTTTTATCCATTTATAAGATATTCCACGATAATTTGACAATTCATATGAATATGGGAAACTGCTGGGATTACTGTTTTGAAACATTTAAGCAGATATTGCACGAGATGCCTTTTTAAGTAATAATTTAGTTATTTGCAATAATTGTAAGCAGCACTTGAGATAATATATATGACAAATGTTTGTTATACTGCAAATTTTATATACCTACTTTACAAGTCAAGTCAGTAGGCCAGAAAAGTACTGTAATCAAATGGAAGAATGAGTTTCAGATATAACATAGTAGGTACATTTTTGTGACGTTGTTCAGGTAATCCTTGGCCCCCTATTGCAGATAGTAAAATATTTATAATGTTTGTTAATCGGAGCTGTTGCGATAGAGAAACCGTCAAAACAAACAATGTAATGATGGGTCCTTCGATAACTTGGAAAGTATCACCGGATTTGAAAAAAATTTGATAGGCCAGTCTGATGGTACCAGTATTATGACCACAAAATCTTAACTCCCCCAAACTTGAGTATATCTGTTTTTTTTTCATTTCTGATGATTTTCAACGCAATCAAATTTTTTACTAGAGGTGAGAAAACTCAGGAATAAGTCAAATTTAGTTAAAAGTTTATTTGAAAAACTCAACGAATGTGAAATCTGACAAAACTCGTTTTTCAGATTCTAGTCATCCTGTCACTATGGCATAATTCCAAACACAGCACGAGCAACACGAGGTGTGCAATTCGAAAATACGTGGAGTAAAATCTGCGTAGAAAAGTCGGGAAACTGCTGATCTAGAAACATCACAAACTAGCCAAATGTGAACCTTGTTGTGAAAGAAACTGTACTGAGCTTGTATATTTTCTTTGAGTGAATACCAGGGCTCCGCATTTCCAAATAAATAAATCTGGATAACTCTTTTATAGTTAAGTTATAAGTCTATTGAACAACTGGGGAAGGGAAGGAAACACCTTCCAAATGAGAACTGATATGAAATAGTAGGCAAAAGTTGAAGCCTTTGCAGTGATTAACATAAAAAAATATTTAAACATCCTCAAGCTATCCAGCGACGTGGCTGCTGCAACAAATTAGACATACAGGGTGAGTTTTTAGTACGTAGTTGGACAATCTCCATTGCTATTAAACATAATCAAACGTGTTATTTACAAAAATTGTGAATAATACGCTTCCCACTTGGAATATACCACTCCCTACAGGGTAATTCATACCGTCATGACAACAGAAACGGAAATCCGTACATCTTATAAGTTTATATAATAATAATAATAAAAGTATTTTATTTTGATTTCAACTAATCCTAGTAAGTTTTCATATAATAGATATTCAGCTTGTGGAGAACCCTGTACATGAATAATTTAATTTTTATAAAAAATGTCTCAATTTCATTTTTGCCGAGATAGAGAAAAAGGGGGAGCAGCTTACTAACAATTCCAACTAATAGCAGCTATGCGCTATCCACAGAGGTCGTTGCTGGTGTGTTTTATTTCGACAGATAGCAAGCTTTTTTAAACTTTTTATTGAGATGTGCTCTAAATCAGTCCCCTTCCGATCTATAAAACGTCGACAATACTGATTTACAGACCAACATCATCCACGAGTATTGCCGCTTCCGAAGATAAATATCGCGCATCCCCATTCGACCGAACCGAAATAACTCCATCCAACCGTTTATTTATTCGATGATCGCCTTTGGAGGATGTGACGTCAGGGAATGCCGGAAACGGTGAAGAACACTCTCGGTTAACCGGAAGCACGGGTATAAACAGCAATTATTCATTAGTAAACAGCGACAGACAATAGGTAAGGTCATAGGCGGCGATACAGGGGACATAAGAGGTATTTGCCTCACGAGCCTTACTGGTTGTTAATTAAGTATGTACCACAAGTTTAAAAGACGATTATGTGAGTAATTTTAAGACAAATAGGTCATATAAACATGGGTCCGCAAATTCTTCGTTCTTAAGATACAGGGTATTAAAATTAGAAAAAATCATTTTTCATAAAATATCTTAAATATCCTTTACTTAATTTTGTTGTAAGCAGCTAATTGAGCCATGACTCGATTAAATTTATTAAGTTCAGTGGCGTCTGGATCGGGATCTGAACGAATATTTGTGACAAAAAAATGTACGCCACTGACTTTTGTGCAATTTTTATTATGTTCTCTGGATCAAGCAAATGAAAATATAACTTGAAAAAACAAATACAGAATAAAATTAACATATTTAGTAATAAAAATTATAAAAAAAATAATTCCAAAAGGAACTTTTCCCCATATTCCTTTTTTTTCTCGAAAACTAAGCAAGATGCGAAAAAAATTCAAGAGACAAAAAAAGTTGTATTCTATTTGCTTATCCAAAGAGCATGATAAAAATTGCACAAAAATCAGAGGCGTACATTTTTGTCACAAATTAATATTCGTTCAGATCCCGCTCAAGACGCCTATGGACTTGATAAATTTAATCAAGTTATGGCTTAATTAACTCCTTGATCTTATAAATACCACCGCCAAATTACAACAAAATTAGGTAAAGCATATTTAAAAAATTTACGAAAAAACATTTTTTTTTGTTAAATTTGAACACGGACCTATGTTTATAAAAACTTTTTGTCTTAAAGTTACTCAAAGAACCGCCTGTTATGGTACATACTTTATTAACACGCTGTATAAATTGATGGACAAGAAGCCGAGATTGGGGAAATCAAGGAAATGAACGTACAGTCTGAAACTTGTCGTGTAGCTTTCATGTTTATAGAACTCGTTTTCTGGTCAAATGAAAACACGTATTTAGAAATTATTCTTCGTTTCAAAGTACAGCTCAAAATGACAATTATATTGATTTCTTGTAAAAGGCCACCCTGGTTATCGAAATGTCAGTCAAGAACTTGGTGGTTGCTGGTTACATCTTGTGAAGTAGAATTATTCTTTGCAAATTTGTTATGAAAACCTGATTTTCATGTTCCATATGCATCGGGGAGATTGGTATCTTATTCTGAGACACCCCGAATTCTGGGTATACCCATTTTACCACTACTAAAATTAAGAGTCAAGCTTTAGACTCTTCATTCGTTTTCTTCCCTACGGACCGTTCTGACGACTAATGCTTGACTTCACCAAGTTACGTCGTTTGTATAACGATTCAAACTTGCTTTTAGTGCAAACATCCCCTTACATTGCAGTGTGGTGCTTGTCAAAACAGAGGTTATCAAAAATGGAGGCTGTCAGAAGTCGTTGACAAATCTGTGATGACAAATAATGTCGCGAGACAGTTCAAAATATACATCCTTTCTACAATGAAAAATGATTTTAAATTATACCTGTTAGTGCTGTTATTATTTACTCAAGAGGTACGTACAAAATCGATTCCGTCCCAAGAAGACCAGAGGTTCTCTAAAAGATCAGGCAATGAATCGGATAACACGGAGCTTCATGAATACTACAAATCTAAACACAAACCCAAAGCTGAGGATGATCATATAGAAGAAAAGAGACACTCCAGATACGAAAATTCAGAGTGGAGACCTCAGTGTGCAGTTATATATAAAAATAATGAACCAGTAGGCATTTTACAACCCTTCGAGGACGCTTTTAAATTCAGACCCTTGAATTTTGACGCAACAATAGTCGATCTCAACCCTATACCAGCCAAAAGGAAAACCCTGATGGATGTTCTCTACCCAAGCAAATTCGAAGATGATTCTGACGAAGAAAACGACGCAGACGAAAAGGTGGGTGTTATCAACAAAAGAGATGCTCATACAGATCGCAACTATGCTTTAGCCTTAGCTAAATTTAAGATAAGTAGTAGAATCGGCTTGAACAGATTATATCGTAAAGCCCAACAGAAAAGAGAAAAGGAGGAAGCGGATGAGGAACACTTAAGATCCTTAAGGAAAGCTTTGATGAAAAGGAAGACCGATGCTAGCGAAGCGGTAGAAGTAGAACTTGCAGACATCTTGAACGACATGGGGTTGATAGATGATTCTGATTCTTCTGAAGAAAAACGAGAAGCTGAAGATGAGAATATGGAATCTGGTTCAAACGCCATCAGTATGGTGGAAGATGAACCCAACTCAACAACTAATAAAGCCGCAAAAGACAAAAGAGATGAACTTGCAACACCTTCTTTTAATGCAAGTACAGCAGCGTCAAGTTCACTTGAATTAACCGAAGTATCAGATCTTAAAGAAGATAAAGAAGAACAAAAAAGAGAAATTACAGAAACAACCAAAACAACAAAGGTAACAGGTTCTAAAGAAGAGCAAAAAAGGGAAGCGGAAGGCTCAGTGTTGGATAAACCAGATGCTGATGAAGTTAGTTTGTATGAGAAAAGGGTTGAGAGAGAAATTCGAGATAAGATACAGAAACTTAAAGAAGAAGTGAAGAAAGAGATCGATGCTTTAAAGTTGGCGAAATCCAAAGGTTCTGACTCAAACAGAAAAAAGCGTGAAGTTGTTAACACTCTGCTAGACGAGGAAACACAAGATATTGATCCGATCGCAAACTATGATGGAGCTGAAAAGAAACATGTGAGAAGGAAAAGAAGCGTCCACTCAAAGAAGGGAGGAGATAAAGTTGATAAAGGGTTGGTGGAAGCGAGGAAAAGGAGATATGTCAGTCCCCAACAAAAGAAAGAAGCATATAAACACACAGAGAAAAGTAAAGAATACGAAGATACATCTTTGATGCAATCTAAAAAGATAGCGAAGGAACGAAATATCCACTTTCTTGACGGTGTTAGGAAACCAGAACCAGAATTACACTCATCTGGATTGAGGAAGATATTGTATATCAGAGAGCCTTCTGAAAGAGCAGATAGCTTAGCTATAGATGAGACACAAGACAATTCCGGAGTTAACGTAAGAAGAAAGAGAGAAGGAGAAGAATATGAAGAAAACGAATATGCTGGAGATTACGAAGAGCTGGTCGACGATTCAAATTCCTTCGACGAAATGAAAGATAATACCCCAGCGGCTGAAGATAAGCCCAACTGTAAGTGTGACAAGAATGGTAACAATTGCAAATGTCGTAAGCAAGTTACGGATGCTGATTATTCCAACTTCATTGTCAACCCAGAGCGTGTGATTAGATCTGCAATCGCGTCTAATCAGCACTGCCACTGCGATAAGAATCGTAATTGTAAATGTGGAACGCAAGAAGCCGAGCCAGATTGGACAGGTTCGAGGAGGTTAGGACGAGATGGTAAGAAATTAACTGACAATAGCAACCCAGTTTTTAAATTTTCAGATAGTGAAATGGTGTAACCAATTTTGAACTGATCGAATATTAGGTCATATATGTACTACATTTCCGTAGGTTTTTACGTACATGATGAGTTTTCGGTTTGGCCTCATTAAATACTTCGGGTTTTTGGTTTTGAATAAAATCAACAATATTATCAAAATAACATATGCTTGTTTCGAGCTGTTTGACAAGTCATCAGCATGGTGTAGACTTGGTCTCAGGTAGGAGCAGCTATTCTCTATGCAGGATATATAATGTATATGGAAATAAGATAGCCCAAAATGCCATCTAGTACCAGAATCGACCACTGCTACAGTGAAAACAGCAAGCTTTCTGTTGGAACTGTATCCCAGTGTCGATTTTGGTAACTCATCATTACCTCAATGACTTAGACAATCATACGTTTTTTACTTTCCTAACCATTTTTTTTCTGCTTTTCTAGTTTTTGATTAGTTTGCTTTGGAAAGTATGCCAGTTTTCGCTTTACTTTAATAATTTATTACTTAAAACTTAACCCTGAATAATACTTTATTATTATTAACATCTGCTAGTGACTTTTATGGTTAAATGTAAGAACAGCAAATACCAAATTTCGCCATTTAAGTCCTGCCTTAGCTGCATTACAATGTTGTTGTAAAGAAATAAAGACGTCTATTATTAATATCATTATTATCATTGTTATTATTATTATTACTATTATTAAATCTCAGAGTACTCATTAGGTGATAAGGTCCTAAGTAAAATCACGACTTCATTCACAAGGTTCGTTAGAGGAAGGCCAATACCAGCTGATCAAGAGAGAGGCAAGAATGCACGTCCCCAAATTTAAAAGCGGCGAGTATTTCGTCGACCTCCATCCAACCGTGTACAAACTCACCCCGGATGACTCAGCAGGTAGAAACAAGGTAGAACTGATCAACAAGGAAAGAGAAAACTCGTCAGGCTCGCTTGAAGAAGAACAGGAAATAACCAATCAGGATCAACAATCCAATTCTGTCAAAGACGAACCTTTGCACTCCAGAATTAGAAGAACAGCCGAAGATTCAGACGACGACCAGAGGCAATTGATTGACATGTCTGAAGAGGAAATCTTCGGAGCATTGCCTCAAAGCTTTGAGGGAGAGCTCCAGAGATATAAGAGGATTAGGAGGTAGAATACATTGGTTCAGTTTATGATAATTGGTAAGGATTCTTCTCAATTTCCAATATCGATGTAGAGTAAACTGTATACAATAATACTAATACCTAGACCCCAGGTGTTACAATATGATACCAAAACAAATATAACAAATACAGGCCAAAAGCTGTTCCCATTTAGAAATAAAAAAATGGATCTTAGGCCTACCCAATAATATTTTACAAATGATTGACATCAAGAAAGTACCTAGACCAAAATCTTGACATAATTTATCACTCTATTCAGAAATAAAATATATCTAAAGAATAAACAAATGATTGAAATTTCAAAACACCAATATAGCCAATAACAGTTTTTACTTAATTTGATGCTCTAATTTAGTTAAGCTCCACCCTTTTTAAAATTCTGTAAATAAAATTTCCAGTTTTCTGGGGACTTTGTAAGATATTCGCCTCCCCACCTACTACTACTGCCCTACATCACGATTTTTCGACGGTATCAAATATCACTACAGAATTTTCTTCACTGAAATATTTTTAATGCTTTAATTATTGATCTTTTCAAATTAATCAACTTCACAGGTTCCCTGTCTGTGTCTCCACTTCCTGTTAGCAGTTACCGTGCAGTGTCCATCATAGAAATTGTGCATTATCCTAGAAACATGAATGAAGCTCTAAACTTAGCGTATCTGTCTAGTATGTCACAAAGTGTTCCGGTTGACAACAAATGTGTATGCAAAGCTTACTTATAGAATGTAAAAAGTAAATGCATTCTGTTTGAATATAATAATTTTACACCTGTATGAATTTGGTTCTTTCGTATAAGTACATGTTATACTCGTAATTTTCGGTTGGTAATAAGTTTATCAAGAACAGTAGATTGAGGATTCCTACAAAAGCAACTACCTGCAGAATATTTGAAGATTAGTTGTCATGAAATAAATAAAAAGTTGGAGCTCCTTAAGACATAAAAATATCAAAACCTTGAAACCCGGTTCCAAAAAATAGATTTTACTGAAACCCCTTCTCTTGCATCGTTAGAAGCTTAATTATTATAATATTTACCCATTAAAATTTGTTGCTCTCCATATAACAATTTTTAACAACAATCGATAAAAATACAAAGAACAAGGAAAATGGAGTGACTCAAAAAAATTGGTAATATTTCAAGGACATACCACACCATCTATTGACCATATTATGGATATAAAAAGTGCAAACGAAGTCTTACAAACTATTTTATTATGTATCCGAGTGAAGTCATTGCGTCAACGTACTAATCAACTGAATAGAAACACTGCAATGTTTTTTGACAAACTTTGAGGTGCAGCGAATAGAAATATTTTAAAAATTACGATCTTCATTTACATTGACAATAAATTATAAAAATTAACGTTAGGTCTATTATTTTTAGTCAATTCAGTCGCGAATACTTTGGAAAATTAACATAACTTAGTGCATGGGTATGTATTTCTGTCAGAAGTTTGATATTTGTTCAGACTTCTGTGCACTCAACATAGGAATTCCAAGATATAAATTGATGGATGTGGTTCAAATTTCACGACTTGTCAGTGGAAAATGTAATAAGATATATCTTGTTTTCATTTAGCAATAACTTTTTTGGCTTGTTCTAGACTTTACACATCCGTGTTTCGGTCAGTTCTAGACAGCAAGGTGACATCGTCTTCAAATAGGAAGCAGGATCCGTTCTCAATACTCGAACAAGTCATTGATGTACAGGGTGTTTGGAAGGTCGATACAAAGTCTTGGGGAGGAGATAGGGCAGACCATTTAGAGTCCTTTTAATCCAAACATACATCAGTACAAAGTCTTACGGTTTTCAAGATATTCGGATTTTTAAATAAATAAGTAAACGAAACAAAATCAACTACTGAAACATGCTTTATTGGTGTTCAAAGTGAGAACCATTGTTTCTATTACATGCTCGAGCTCTACGTGTCACTTTGGTAGTTGTTGTATTTAATAACCTGTCTTGCTGCTAATAAATAAAAAGCTTCTCGAATTTTGTTATTAAATGGTCTCTTGATACGGTTTCTGCAGTGTAAGCTAACTGTTTACCCCGCCCTCAGACATAGAAATCCAATGGTTTCAAGTTCGGGGATCTAGCAGGCCACGGAATTGGTCCACCTCTGCCTATCCAGCTATTTGGAAAGGTATCGTCCAAATATTGTCTTACGTCTAAACATCCGTCGTGTTGGAAAACAATTTGCATGTCATCTGGAATTTCTACTCCTACAAGTAATTCGGGAAGATCATTTTGCAAAAAATGTAGTTAACTGACGCCGTTTAACCTTTCAGGCAAAAAATGAGAACCGATTAATCTTTGTCCCATTAATGGAACATTTGTGCTGGAAAGACACCCGTTTTATTCAGTGTAGATTTTCCTGGTTATCAGCCTATTGATGCAAATTGTGAAAATTTGTAATGCTCTCTTTTGAAAAATTGGATTCGTCCGTCCATAGAATGCTTTCCAGGAACCGTTCATTCTCAATCTCACTATGTAAGAGAAAACGACAAAATTGGCTTCCATGAATAGGATCACCATCTTCAAGCCCTTGTACGCTGATACCATGAAAAGGATATTTTCGTTCACGGTGCATGATATTCCTGACCTTCCATGACGACAAACCAAGATCAGCGGCAACTGTCCTAGTGCTTGTTGTGAGATCAACTTCAAACGCTTGGAGGATTAGATCTTCGGCTTTGGGAGGATATCGACCTAGATTAACAACAGGCTCATTACGTGTTACACTTCCAGTCTCGTAAAGACGTCGGTAAGTTTTGTAAAACACTCTGACATTAGGCAATCTTCTCCCAGGAAATCGCTCTTGGTACAACCGTCGTGCTTCTAGCGGCCATTTTACAAACTAATTAATTCAGGGTTTTTGGACTGAAATTCATGAATTACTATTAACTTGTTTGGAAAGGAATAAAGCAAGAATGTGTGGAATTTAGTTTTATCATGCACGCAAACACGTTCCTTCTTATCAGTACCACAAAAATAGGGAAACATGTATTTATTATTTGTTTACAGTCAATTTGTTTTTCTTTTCTCTACCTTCGAAGAAAAAAATCACACTGTCAGGGTTTTAAAAACTATTTCATATAGCCTGATGTTCTTTCAGCGATAACAGGAACAGGCATACTTTTTCAATAAAAATCGAAAATCTCGAATATGTAACTCGAAAACCGTATGACTTTGAACTAAGTTATTTTTGGCTTAAAAGATTCTAAATGGTCTGCCCTATCACCTCCCCAAGACTTTGTATTGACCTTCCAAACACCTTGTATATTAGAAACAGCAGGGGGCCCTGTGGAACCCCGTTGTAAATTATTTTCTAAGTCACTAACCTTTATGAAACATCTACTGCATATTTGAATCACGTGTTCAATTTCATTTGAGTTACCTCTAGAGGAAATTTTTTCTAAAACTTTCCCTTTTGGTGCAAAATTGGTTTGAATGTTTGATGTAAAATCCAAATAAAGAACTACAACCCGTTCTTAGAAGAAGAAATGAACTCGTATCTCAGTAACGAAACCATAAAATAGATAAGGTCATGTGAACTTTTTTGTTCAGTTTGATGCGGCCTGTTAGATATGATAAACAAGAATAACCGTAGACGAATACAAAAAAATAAGAAATGAAAATCAAAAACGAAGAAAATTAATGGGTTAGCCTTTTAATATGTAGTATTTTAAACGCATATGACTAAAAATCCATGCAGTGGTACCGTACCCGAAGTTTACATCTAAGGTATGTCTACTAAAAGTTGACGCATGTACATATTGCTACAAAAGCGTCAAGTAAATCAACTTAACAAAACAGAATTTTGATTTTTTCAACGATTTTCTGTTTTAATGGATATTTGAAATATTTGGCAACAGAAAAAACTGCAGCAATAAAGCCTATTATACGATCGCAACTTCAGGCTTCTCATATATAAAAATCAGTGGAGTGATTCACGTTGGGTTAGACATTGAGAAAATCAGAAAAAACCTAGAAACCTAGTCAAATTTTGGTTATGTCCAGCTTACTTTGGTCATACGATTTCAATCTCATATTACTTGCATGCCGCAGTAATCAATTTAAATTCATTTGTAAACATGCAACTGCATTTTTAGACGGGAAACAACATAGATACATAGTAAAATATTCATCGATACCATAATTGACAAAACAACATCTAGCCGTTGCGAAGACATCATACCCCAAAAAACAATCGCAAAAACTACCTGGTCTTCACTGCAGACCTCTGGTTCGTCCACATACACACCTAGATACACAAAATACTACCGAATCACAGTAGAAAAGGCGATTTAGTACCCGTCATGCACAATATACATGCGGGGGAGGCGCGGCTGTTTTCACCCCGTCACCCCTGAGACAGGGAAGCCCGGACTGGTGACGTTAGGGTTGCCGGGAGAGCGGACCGCGGCTCGCGAGGTGATAGAGCGGTGTAGAGGTGGGTTTAAACGAATACTTGGTATTCGAATAAGATCTTCCAAAATCCCATTAACTTGAAATTGGCCAGTCATGCGAGGACACTTATGAAGATTGGCACGCCGATCGATGAAGCCAGGGAGTAGACGCAGGGACGCGTGTCGACGACATTTAAGAATCGAAGTTTTAAGGACAAATGTACCGAGAGATCTATAATGTATGAAATAAGTTCAATAGGTGTGTATAATTACCAGGGTTGGAAGTATACGTAGTCGTGCCATAAGTTCTGTCCCATGATAATCTCATGATAAAAATGAAACAAGATAAGATATATTTATATGAAAGATATTATTTATTCGACAACATTTTTAGAATTCATAATCAAACAGTTTTATTCAAAATGTCCCCCCTTGGCCTTCACACACTGCTTCAATCTCGCGGGCCACTCATCTATCACTGCACGCACAGCTTCCAAAGGAATAGCTGCCGCTGATCGGATCAAATCCGCTTTCAGGGACTCGATATTACGGTGGGCTTTGGAGCAGGCCAACTGCTCTAGCAGGTCCCACAACTTGTAGTCTAAAGGATTGAGGTCCGGACTCCCTGAGGGCCAATCTTCCGCAGCAATGAACTCTGGCACATTGCTTTCCAGCCAGCGCTGCGTACTCTTAGCCTTGTGAGCGGGGGCGGAATCCTGCTGGTAGACCCAGTGTTGGTTGGCAAACAATGTACCACTTAAAGGCTTGACGATAGGATCCAGTATGTCGCTCTGATAGTTTGCCGCTTTTGTTTTCACGCCCTGTTTACAGAAATGGAGCTGAGTGACCCCTTCGTAGGACACCCCCCACCAAACCATGACTGACGCAGGGTGGTGGCCTCTCTCAACTCTCGGAATGATCTCCGAAGCTTCCTGTGAACTCCTTGCATACACTTTGTCATTTTGTCGGTTGAATTTTTCTTCTATGGTGAAGATTTTCTCATCCGTGAACAAAATCTTTCGGAATCCCCCAGCTGCGTACCTCTCCAAGAGCTTCTTGGATCTTGTCGCCCTGATGTGTCGCAAGGTGGCCGTAAGTCGCTGGCCCGTACGTCTCCGGTAAGCCCCTAGCCCTAGGTCTTGTTTAATGATGCGCGGCATCGTCCGGACAGGAATCTTCATTTCCCTGGATAGGATCTTCTGCTTCCGGAGTGGATTCCTTTGAATCCTGGCTTTTACGGCTTTGATGGCTGCTGGAGTCCTTACTTGACGAGGTCTTCCGCTTCTTGGCCTGTCATCAACAGAGGACGTCTCATTGTACCGCTGAATGGTCCTAGACACAAATTTACGCGATATTTGAAGGC